CTATGAGTTTTAATTTTCCTTCCATATACAACAAAAACAACTTTACGGAGATATTGTTTACACAAATATCAGACAAATGGCGAAAATAAACTAGAGTTATAACAGAAAATAACATTTATCAATACTTATTTTATGGAAAATATATATATATATATATATATATATATATATTTTCCTATATTATATATGAAACATTCAGATCAGATCGAAGAAAAATATAAATGCCCGATACCAGCAGCAAAAACAAAAATGTTTATTGCATTTTTTCATCCTTTAAAAAAGGGCCGAATTTCAAAAAAGGTTTTTAAACCTGCCCTCTGCAGGTTTAAAATTCAGAATTGCCCTTATTCCTGAGACTTTTTGCCATCCAAATTTATAATAAATTTAAGTCATTTTCTTTTTACAAGAAAAAGAATAAATTTTTTAGGCATATGGGGACGAGAGAAAGAAGTGAAGAAGGATTTAAACCTTTAAAATTAATATTTATAACGTAAATGAAAAACATATAATACGAATAGTGTAAAACAAAAATTTAAATTGTTTTAAATATCCTAGCGCCTTTTAATAATTTTAATAAACATGGCAACAAAAATGAGGACAATAGTCCGAATCTCAATAAATAAATACTCTAGGGGATCATCTCAAAAAATATAGACAAGGACTGAAACGTTAATTAAATACAATATAGATGAAGATTTATATAATGAAATAAATAAATATATTAAACAATTATCATCTCATAAATATAGACAAAAATGAAAAGTGCTTGAATTGAAATAATGACAGGTTTATGGAACTATCATTTTATAATATCAAACATGCAAATAAAATATTTTATAATTTAAATATAAATATAAAGGATATCTATAGATTTTTTTTCACCATCAAACTGTTTTTTTTTTAAATTTTATGGAATCGCTAAGGGTTTTAATAACGGGTTTTAAATTTAACTATTTACTGGCTTATTCTGATATTTAAAATGAATAATTTTGGCTCCATTTCAGGGAAAGGTTCCTTGAAAAAGTACAAAAAACTAGAAGGAAAAATTGGAATTTTTTTTTTTGATAAAATGAAAAAAAAAAAATATCCAAACAAACAAAATTAACAAAGTTTATTCAATCTGTTCTTTCTCTCTTGATTCTAACTGTAGAAGTCATAACATAATTTACCTCCTAGAATGCACACTATGCCAAAACAATATATAGGAAAATCTGAATGGCCCTTTCACTACAGAATTAATAATTATATAATTGAATTAAGTCGACTATATATGAAAAATTATTACCTGTAGAACAACATTTTTAACCCTGAAAAACACGATTTCAAAACCCATGCCAAATTCACACTATAATTGAGAGAATAGAAAAGTTCAGAGCAGATAACATTAGAAAGATTTTAGAGTCCCATGAAAATAAGTGGATACAACGTCTAAAAACACAATATCCAGCCGGGCTAAACCATAAATTTAACAATATAGATAGTATATAATATATAACTCAACAAATCAAAACCTACCCACATTTCTCACCCACACAAGACAGACATGTTTACGGAAATGTTGAGTCCTCACACTTATACACACACCCACACGAATATACACACTTACACACATCATACTCACTCGCTTCCTAATGAGCCAAATGATAACACACACCCACAGCAATACACACACTTACACATATCATACTCACTCACTCCCTAAGAACCAAATAAACACACACAAACACTAAACAGAGACACATCCCCTCACCAGGTCCAATAAAACTGTCAAACTGACCAAGGAATTCAGAGAATAATATGAATCTATCCAGCTCTTATCTCAAATAACAACTTAAAAGAGACTGTTTGACCAACACAAGGAATGTTAAAAGATTCATGTTAAAAAGATAAAAAAAAAAAAAACAAATGAAAACTACAGACAAAAGTTCATTTTCTCCATCAAGACATTCATTTCTGTAGTTTACTGCTACCAGCAAGCAGAAAAATATTTCTCCTCCGATGATGGCCATTTTGGTCGAAACTAGTCGAGGAATCTAAATGAAATAATAATAAAAAAAAACGAAAGAATATTAATCTACAACCCAGTGTGTCTGAAGATTTTAATTTTTGTTTAATTTATTTTATTGAACCATAATCAACTCCAAAGCAAAAGTCGAATACACAAAATGGCTCTGTAAATTACATTTACCTTATAGATATCATTCTTAATTAGTCTTAACAACAGTTTTAGTAAATTGATTTGCGGAAAAAACCAAAAATGACCTAATGGGTTCATTTTCATTATAAAAATAAAATAAAAAATGCTGCATAAAAATATCGGATTTAGTTAAGATTTATAAAATTATATGATTGGAAATTGTTTCCAGAATGAACTTGATTATTGAAATTTCCGTCCTTAAACGGACCATAAATTATTTTATATTTTTTGTGAAACAAAACATCATAAACAAAAGTGTGGAAAAAACATGGTAAATTAGAAAAATTTGAATCAAGATGATCTTGGAAAATTATGACTGTCATGTCTATCAATGACTGTGATCAATTATCTATTTGAAAATTTCTGATTTTCTCCACTTGTAAAAAAAAAATCTAAACAAAACTTGAATTTTAATGTGGGATTTAATGCTTGACGCTCCAATCAACTGTGCCATTGTAGAACAATTGAATAGAAAAAGATTGTTATAAATACCTTTTATAAATTGTTTTAACATTTTACAAAATAAAACGTCAAAATTTAAATGGTTTAAATTTTTTTTTGACAAAAAATAAGCTGCAAAATGGTAAATTTTACCTCGAAATGAGAGGCGTAATAAAATTACTTGACGGAAAATATATTAAAATAATGGTAAGAACTCACTTAAAATCATATTGAGTAAATCTTTATCCAATTAAAATTCACTTCTGTTCCAAGAAATCTTTATTCATAAATATCATTTAAAAAATTTCAAAACATAAGTAAAAGAAATAAACAATTTTTTAATAAAAAAATATTCTAAAATTCAATTTTAAAGACTAATAGTAGGTGTTTATTCTTAAAGATTTAAAACATATTTTAAGAAAGCTACAAACCGCCTTCAAATATATTTTACAAGTAAAATTTTTATATAATTTTTAATATTCCATATATATATATTAATATTTAAAAATTGAATAATTTAATAAAATAAGAAAATTAAATTTACTCATTAATCGATTTTAATTTCTGAAAATAATATGGTCGTTAGACAATTTCTTGAAATTAAAAGAGACAACATAAAAAAATTCAAATTCTTTTAAAATGTTAATAAAACTGAGGGTATCCTAAATTTTTCCATTTATGATTAGTAAAGAAAATTTTCAGTTCATTAGAATTTAATTTTGAAAATAATATTGATTTTAAGAGATTGGAAATTTTTAAAATTGTTTTTCAATTAATGTTTTAAAATAAAACCTGAAATAAAAATAAATTATTATCGAACCAAGAAAACAAAACATCACAGAAAATCTTATTTATAAAGAACAAAATTAAATAATTTATTTAATGAGAAAATAAACCCGATTGGTGGTGTGGATGAAGAAATTTTCCTATTTGAGAAAAATCGAGATTACAACACTGCATGAACTGCTTTTAAAGAATAAATCAAATTCTCGTAATTAAAAAAATCATGTCGAATGTTGAAATTTTGTTTTATAAGGATTCTAGGTGCATAGTTTTACCAAATTTAAAAAAATTAAAAATAATAATTTTATTCATATTGTCAAACTGTTGAAAGTAAAAACAAAAACCAGAAACATTTGACCATCAAAAATTTCGATTGAACGGTTTTTGGCACTGTTTGAAAGGAGCAAAACATCCATATTTTAGGGATTCCACCCATCCATAAAAAAAAGAAACCAAAATTGGTAAAATTTGAATGTTATGGAAAATGATTAAAAAATTTAATCTGGAAAAAAATACATTGGTCTTTTCCTCTTTTAGATGTAGCTATATCGCATAGTGACTTGATAATCTAATCACTTGTTTTATTGTTTTTTTTAAGATGTTTGGCAGTCTCCCAGACTGAACAAAATTGTTACAGCATGTCGTTATAGAAATAAGGGAATTTTGAAACTTATTTTTAGCGAAACAACCTAGTTGTATGCTTGATATTTATAAAACAAAAAAAAAATGATAAAAAATGTATAATTTATATTGCGATGCCAAAAGTAAAAATATCAAACAAACTATGTAAAGTAAAAGAATAAAAAGTGTAACGATCTTAGTTTTTTATTTTTTTTTCAAAAAAATCATGGTGAACCTTTTTTGAAGTAATTTTGCCTTTTAAGAAATGAAAGGAAATATCAGATTAATAAAAAAGCAAAGGAAAATGGCTAATCCAACATCTAATAGAATTAGAATAATAATACAAATGAAAAATAAAAAAATGTTGAAATTTACATATGGCTGCAGTCTAGGGGCCCCAAAACCAGAGAGTCTCCCCAGGACACATTGAATAAAGTGATAAAATAAAAAATAATCAGGGGATTTTGGGACGTAGTCAAATCTGAGTCTGGTTTACAATTTATGTATAGAAAGTTATAAACATGTGAGGCCATTTTTTAATCTTTATTTGTTTATATATTTCATTTTTTT